TTTCAAGTCATTTTTCAGAACTCTATCCTGATGTCATCGGCCTATGGAGTCGTGACACCTGTTCCAGGAATGCCTGTATTGGATTTTATTATCAAAGTTAAATTTATCTGAAAGTATTTGGTTTTCCCTTGGCCAACAGCAACTGGCATGGCTTTCGATGGCGTCATTTGCAAATGAATTTGCTGAACGCATGATCATCACCATTTGAGTGAATAGGCAAGAGATCAAACCGGAGACAGCTTATGACTTGCCAGGCCAACACAACGTAAAGTGTTGCTTATTACACAAAATCATGACCTCATAATATTTCTTTTCCATTAAGTAGCTACTTAATGTTATTACACTTATCAACTTTTGATAGTAAAATACTTTTCAATGGCAATGTTTACAGTTCGGTAATTGCCCCTTTCTCCTCTGTTTTTCTGAGCGAGAACCTGTGGTTTGGGGTTAGGCCTTGTAATTTGTGTGGCTGCTGTAGGAGGAATTAGGGCAGGTGGTCCTGGAGGGTGTGGGAAGGTCTAACATGAGAAGGAAACCAGAAGCAGGGCTGAGAGGCAGAGCACTTGGTTAGCACCTGCAGGGCCCTGGGGTTCATTCAGCTCCAGCATCGTGAAAACAAAAACAAAGATTCTCATTGAAAAGATGCCACTTATCTCCCAGAGCAGAGCAGTGGCTCTCAGAATGGAGCCCCAAGTCAGTGTGACCTGACCCAGAAAGCCTGCCCTAGCCCATCATGTTTAAAACTGCTCCTCTATACACACACATCCATATTCACACATGCTTACACACACTAACACGCATACACATGCATTTACATGCATATACTCACACGCAAATATTCACTTACACAGTTATACACACATACACACTCACATACACATACAGTTAAATCTCTCACACATAAGTACACTTGCATATATACACATCTTACAAATATACACACACTTAAATACACACTTACACATGCACACTTTTACAGTCTTACACACTCATGAGTACATGCAGTAACACATACATACAAACACACACATACACATACATTCACAGGCCCACACTCTTATACAAATATTTCATATACATGCTTATATAAACACACACTTATACAGTCTTACACACTCATGAGTACATACAGTAACACATACATACAAATACACACATACACATACATTCACAGGCCCACACTCTTATACAAATATTTCATATACATGCTTATATAAACACACACTTGTACAGTCTTACACGCATGTGCACACATACACATTCATACACACTTATAAGCTCGCTGTCTATTACAGAAACACTACATACATACATGCCCTTATACACATTTACACAACCATATACCCTTTCATACACGTATACATACATGCACATCATCACAATCACAAACACTTGCACACACTCAAACACAGTCATTAACACACACGCAAACGAACACACACATAGAGTTACACATGTATACTTACACGCATATTGGTTCTTTCCCTGTTTTGTGTCCCACCTTTTCACCCAACAACTCACAAGCCATCCTTCTCCTTTCTTATTTTCTGTGTTTATTGTGTGTCTTCCCTATTTGCTAAGAGAAGGCTAACTCTCTGAACGGGTGGTATTTTCCTGTTTCATTCACTGATATCCCCAGAAATAAAATGCCTGGGAGAGGCATTTCAATAATATTAGAAAAAATATTTATTGGATGAAGACAGATTAAAGGTGCCTCCATCAAATAAATATGTGACCATAATTGATAAGAAGAAGGTTCTTTCACGGGGGTTGTAAAGTCACTAGCGTTTGCTCCTGACCTGGGGCTATGACTGAGGCTTGCTCACTGAGGGAGTGCTCACAGAGGATCTGGGAAGAAAAGGGCCGCATGCTCCTCTACTTTCTTACCTGCTGTGGTTGGAGCCACAGCACTCTTCTGGCCAATGAGGAAACTGAAGGTATGTGAGATGCAGGCCAGGGCATTTCTTCTTTTTTTTTTTCCATCTCATTTGGTTGTGACCATGGAAACAAGGGGACAAGGCACAAGGTAGAAACAGCCTGGATCCCCGAATGAGTGCCTGAAGGAAGGCTTCCTTCCGCTTTTCTGGGAGGAAATCTTCACTGTGATAAGACCACTTAGCTCTGGGGGCCTATTTGTTACAGCACTGTGTTTGTTTCACGGACAGACCCTGACTAGTACCCATCACCAACAGACAGAGAGAATAAACTTAGAGAAATCCGCTCTTCACAGTAACTCTTTCACAGAGAGAGTATTTGGGGCTTTCTGTGGCTTACAGGCACCTTATTCACAAGTGGAAGTATAAATGGGTACCGCCCAGACAATGCGTCACACAGAAACCACAGAGATTGGGAAGTGAGCACAGAGCACACAAAGGTGCCTTGGGATGCCTTCTGCTGAGGTCTGGACTTCAGCAAACCCACCTTTTGACCTTGAACAAGTCAATTTGCACCTCTGGGCCTAAGTTCTTTGGCTGGATGTAAAGATGGTTCCATTAACTACTTCCTAATCTTGCTTGTGGTGATCAGGTGACCCAAAATACAGAAAGAGACCCTGTAATGCCTTAGAGGAGGTGATCTGTTGTCATTATTATTGGATAACACTTCAACTGGCAGAACCTGAATGGACACAAAGAAAGAACACAGTCTTCTATGACTGGTGTTCCACGTACAGTCCTCCTGGTTTAGAGGCAGCCATCTTGGACTGTCTACCTCAGGACCAAATAACTACTCACCAACGAACGGAAAGGCTGAAGACAGGAAAGGAAGGACTGCGTCCTCTGTGCCCTCCAGACAGACAACACTGACAGCTGGCATGCCCAACCAGCGCCTTTGGAATAACTAAAATTAAAGAGCATCAACAGCAGTGGTAACAATCGCTAACGTAAGCTCACTGATTCGACATAGCTCTGTGAGTGAGGCGCTGTTCCTACCCCCTCTCCACACGCGATGAGAAAGCACAGGGGCGTGAAGTCACTAGCCCAGCATCATGTAGGGGTGGGCAAGGCAGCTGGGCTTCAGGTCCTCAAGTATGACACAAAGGGTACAGAAGGCGCCGGGTCCAGGGCTAAGAGAGTCCCGAAATGAGTCTCAACCCTCACACTCGGTGATCAACTGACTTTCCAGGCAACAGCTTAATCGCCGAAGCCATTACTTCTCTGTCTCAGAGATTATGTGGCAATAAGTATTCATTCCTACTGATACTGATGTTCTTATGATTCTCAATAATTCTAACGAGCAGTGATGATGTCAGCTCCCTGAAGGAGTTGTTGAAGATTGATTGGGATACTGTTCATGCACAGTCAGAACAGCTTCTCAGTAAACGTTGGCTGTTTCCTGGTACTGTCCTATGTGGCTGCCCTGAACGTCCCCAGTGCCCGCAATAGAGTCTTGGCACAGGGGGACATTCCGCGTGTCTCTCCTGCTCTCCCCTGGGATTTACAGTGGGACCTGCTTCTCAGTCCAGCACGAGAGGCAGTCTTCCATCACTGTAACAAATCACTCCTCAAGCCAAGAGGTTTGTGATGGCTCATGGTTTTAGACCATTATCAGAAAGATAATGTGCTGTTAGGCCTTGGGTTGTGCCGCTTCTGGTTTGCAACGGAGCTGTGCGGATGGCGGAGCAAACTGCTCATCTCCTGGCTAGGAGGCAGAGGAAGAAAAGGAAAAAGCAGGGATCAAAGAGACAGCTCAGTTGGTAAATTGCTTGCCTTGCCAACATGAGGGCCAGAACTGGATGCCAGGATCCCTTTAAGAAGCTGGACATGATGGTAAATACTTGTAATCCGAGGGCTGGGGAGCAGAAACAAGGGGTTCCGTAGGGTTTGTTGACCACTTGTCGAGATCTAGGCCAGTGGAAGATCTTGTGTCAAAACAAAACAAAAAATAGTGGATGAGACCCTGAGAAATAATACTTAAGACACACCCATTCACAGGATGCTGGGAGGGGTGGATGCAGGGCACAGAGAATAAAGGTCCACCAGTCTCTTTTAAGGGCGGTCCTCAAGGACCTGGGAGGGTAGGCATTTAACATCCAAATGGCAAGGGTTAACGGAAGGCAGCCTCTTTTCAAACTTCTCCAAACGCACAGCAGCTGGCAGGCTCAGCCTGTGCAGGCTTTTTTGTCAGAAGGCCCAGTTCCCATCTCCACCCTCAGAAGCCTGCCAAGCCTTCGTCTCCGGGTTAGGCCACCCTGACCTCCATCTGTGGGTAAAAGAGAAGGGTGCTAGGAACTCAAGAAGCTCCTGCTGTTGGACGCCAGGACTTCTGCTCCTCAAGATGATGGCCCTGGAGCAGAAGCTGCTGGAGGGTCCTGAGTCATCTTCAACAACAAGAAAATGTTCCACGGAATTGTGGCGACCGAGTCCATTGGACTGTTCAGATTCCAGTTCTTTAAAAAGTGACCACGCTGTGTAGGGAGATGTGGGGAAAGGTAAAAGGAGCCTGTCCTGCCATTGGATCGGGTCTAAGATCTGTTCTCACCCTATCAAAGAGCGGTATTTGACAAGAGGCATTTAAAAGTCACACAGGTTTTTATCGGGGACTCTTGGTGGGGGGGGGGGGGTGAGTGGTCTCTGTAGAAAGGGCTCCAGCGAGTGAAGTGTAAGCAGTCAGTGGGCTTCAGGGATACAGACCAAGACTAACAGGGTGACTGCCACTCAAAGTCACTTTCCTTGCAGGAAAAACGGGGACCTAATCATGCCAGCCCAAACAGACCGAAACTCTACCTATCCATTGCTATGACTCTCCGTATTTTAGGGGAAGCTGACTGCTTCCAGAGGTCAGCTTGCTCACCTGACCTAGCACGGGGGTACCATTTCAGGTTTGGCCTGGTGGCTAGGGTTCTGATACAGGAGGTGGGTCTCTGGAAAAAAACCCCATCTGTGGTAATGTCAACGTACACGATTTGCAGTCACAGCTTGGAGAATCATCTCTCTCTAGCGGCAGCTGTGGGCTTCACCACACAAGACACATCAGAAGATGCCAAGCCAACCCAACAGCATCTCCCAGGGATGGCACTCTGCAAAGGTCACCATTTTCCAGACCGTTCGTATCCTCCAGAGAGGTTCTCATCTCCACCTCTTTCCTCAGCCTGCTATTTCTCTTTCGCTTGGCCTGTCTCTGTTTCTTTCCTGTCTTTCTCTTTCTTTCTTCCTGAGTTCCATTCTCTTTCCTTCCCCTTGCTTGTCTGGAATTTTTTTTAATTGAATCTGTCTCGATATTTCCTGTCATAATTTAACAAACTGATCATTTAATGAAACAGATGCTGCCCAGTTCATCTGAATTTTGAATACACAACAAATATTTTGGACATATGTCAAAAGGTAAGTTCTTGTTTAGCCGAAATTTAAATCAAACTGGGAATCCCACAGTTTCTGGCTATGTGACTCCCTAGCTCACGGGACACTGTGTAGGACTCAAATGTTTTCTTGTGCCTCTTCGAAATAAAAGACTGCTCTATGATAAACTCTGTAATTCTCCCATAGTTTAAAAGATATGATCAAGCAGTTCCCGGATGCTCTGGAGAGTTTGGGGTCTCTTTATGCACGACACCCAGGCTGGATCTCTAGGGAGCCCTTTGAATTCAACACCACCACTCATGCCCTCCTGGAACCATCCTCGAGGTCGAGGGAGGTTGCAGGGTGGCCACATGCCAACCATCATATCAGGCCTCTGTGAAAGAAAAGGTTAATTTTGCATAGAGTTGGAGCAAGGCAATTAAATTATAAGCTTTTTCCTTTCCTTTTTGTCTCGTATTTGATATATTCTCAGAAGAAAGAATTTCCCTTTCTGGGGCTCCTTTGGTCGTCCTTGAGAGTGAAATACAAGTGAAGGTGTGGAGGCAAGCACTGCCAGGTCATGTGAGCTCCCTGCTGAGGGACTTGGCTGTCTAGTCCGGTCACTCTCCTGCTTGCTGCTATTTGAAAAGAAAAGAAAACAAAACAAAACAAAAAAACCCAGCTTCTGCTTGTGAAGGACATCAAGTTGTCTGAAGAAATCGGTACCAAGAGCTCTGCAGGCCATGCCGCCTCTCCTTCCACCATGAGTGACTCCAGAAACTGCTGGAAGTCCCCCAAGGAGCCCCACAAGAACAGACCCCATTCCCAAAGTCCCGAGGAAGCCTGCCTCCGGGCGCTGCCGTTTCTTGGTGCTGCGGTCCAGGCCGGGCTTTCTGCTCTGCCTGCTGGAGGACAGCCATCCTTATTGAGTGTATTTCCAAGAAAGCAGTTGACAGGGTTGGCAGTGCTATTCCTGGAAATGTTCAATAGGCCATCCTCTGGCAAGGCCCGCTGCTGACGGATGGGTCTGAAGGGGTACCGCGTGCTCAGCGCCATCTAGGCCGGGCCTATTCCCAGGTGCCTCTGAGCACCAGCCATCCCCGAATACCATGGGCTGTCAGCTGGCCTGGACCTCAGGGCCTCTTCTGTAACTGCTTCCTCCCTGGCAGGATGGATGCCAGCCGACTTGCTGCTAAATGAAGACAGGCGCCCTGTAACTATAAATTACAAAACGTCGGATCCAGCGGATGAGCTTGCTGTGTGTCCCTGCAGTCAGCTTGGTGGTGGTGGTGGGGAACACTTGACCATAGCCAGAGGACATTCAGGACGGCAGTTTTGATTCTTGTGGCAGCCTTTGGAGAGAGGCCAATCCTGCTGTGAGGCAGAACAGCTCTTAGCAACCCTCAAAGCTGAGAGTTTCCCTCCATTGTCTAGTACAGTAAGGACCAAGGCTTCTTGGGATCCGTGTGGGGTGCATTTTGGGGAGCCTGTCTGTGTGGTGGGGGTAATATGTAGATATCCCTAGTCTCCTACTACCGTGTCCACTGTAGGCCCCCACTGGCAGAATAACACACAAGAGTAGCCTGAACTCTCTGGAAGCCACAGGCCGAAGAGCTAGTCCCTGAGGCCAGGGCTGTGTAGAGCTGCGCTCCTTCGGGAAATCCAAGGGCCATGTTTGCTTTTGGACACATGACACAGACAGATGGACAAATGGATGAACAAGGACATGGATGGACACAAACACACATGCTCCAGATGTTGCTGAAAGTCCCCCCCCCCCCCCCAAGGCAAGATTGCCCTTAGGTGAAAATCACTACCCAGAGGCAAGGAGCTGGGTTCCTGGGGTGATGCCTGCGATGCTAGCTGACCATCTGGTGGGCTGGGATACCAGGCAAGCCACGGAATCCGTGGGTCTCAGTTTCCTCATCTCTAAAACGGGAACAAAGAGAAGGTGGGAACAAGGGACTATGGAGGCTGCACGTGACACACTTTCAGGGATGTTTAGTTTACAGATAAAAGAAAACAGCCGGGGTTTATGCAGAGCTTAAAGGGCGGGGCTCCCCTGAAAAGAAAAAGCCGGGCTGGTTATTTATAAGATTTCCACATGCTTTAAACTGTTTCCCCCAACTCTTCCACTTTCTCACAGAATAACAGTGCTGCGCCCCCAAGATTAGCGAACAAGATTTCTTCAGAAAGGGCTCTGGAAGATTTTTGTTGTTACTGCTGTCCACTTTCGTTACCCACCTCCTCTTCCCCCTCCCGGCGCCCATCAGCATCCTAGGGACTGTATTTCTCCGATGAAAGAACAGGAAGTAGCTGGAGGGAAGGGCAGGGGTTGGAGAGCGGGTGGGGAATCCTTGATCTTCTTCACAGAATGTGTACATTTTCCTGTCTAGTCAGAAACAGAAACTGGCCGGGAACTATCCCATGCCCATAGGAAGCCTCTGTGGCTTTAAAACGGCTTTGCCGTTATATAATTCCCTTCTGGCGTCCTCCCTCTAGCTTTCAAGGAATTGTAAAGAAAGCTTGAAAGACCTCTCCTGGCTCCTACCGGCAGAAAACACAAAGGGAAATGGGGAGTAGTAACTTGAACTCCTAGGCAGGTACAGGTGGCGCCGGGAGAGGACCGGGGCTGCGCGGGTCCTGGGGACTCCTTCACAGCACAGGCTGTGATCTTTTGGAGGCTCCAAGGCCACTTTTGCTTTTGGAAACAGGACACTGTGATTAATCAAAGAAAACAAAACCAGCTTCATTTCCCATAACAGGTCCACGGAGGTCTTTTCTAAGAAAAACCTTGATCGAAATGTTCCTTCTCTTTTCCTAAAGGCCAAAGAGGAGGGGAATCCATGGAAGTCGGGTCCTGAAGAGTCCCCTTTCCCAGAAAAGGGCTTCGTTATGCTAATTCCCTCAAAGCAACCTGGCGGCAACCTGTCTACTACAGCATCATCAGTCCCTCTGGCAAAAAGCAAGTGAAGTCTCGTCCTCCCACTCCTCCCGCCCCGCACCCACTCAGGTGCTCACCGGCTCCCTGGGCCCTTCTGATCAGGCAGGTTTTCTGGAAGATCTGGGGCCGAACCAAACCAGTGAGAACGAGGATCAGAGAAGGTAGGCAGCTGGGAGTCCTGTTGCCAGCTCACACAGGCTGACCCTGCAGGAGGTTCTTGCTGTAGGTAGTGAGACAGAGGCAAAAGAGGTACCACCTGGGTACACGCAGAGCTCAAATAAATAATATTTCAATATAATGTGTTTAAATAAAGATTAGTTTTCAAAAATCCACCCTGAACAAAATCTCTAACATTCATAGTATCAGAATGCACTTTCACGGGTAGGGGACGATCCCAGCGGTAGCATACTCTTGACTTTGACATTGGAAAGTCCCTACAAAGGAGCTCTGAGCAATGCGAACACCCGAAGAGCCCTGAATTTTGAAACAGAAGAGCAGTTAACCCCATGAGGGTGCAAACTCACTTTCAACCTCTTAGATTGCTCCCCTAGGCTTAAGCCTGGCCATATCTCCATCAGGGGATTGTGAAGATCAAGTTCTAGCGTTTGATAAACCATAGCCAACGGCAGTCATGGAACACATCACAAAATGTAGCAACGCCGGCAGTGGCCAGGCAGATGAGAGATGGTCTTGGAGAGTAGGAAAGAAAAGGCAGGTTGAGGAGTTGTGGAGAGAGGTGCAAGGGAAGATGCGTGGAGAAACACGTGTGTGGGAAGAGGCTGGCCTGCCCTGGTTGGCAGAATACAGACAATTCTCCTGCACCACCCTGGGGCTTCAGCTCTGCTCTTCACAGTGGACAGAGCCTCCATCCATCTTCCAGATGCTCTAAGCCTCAGTTTATCTAGTTTTCATGTGGGGGAGAGGGAGATGGAATAATGGGATGTCCTGAGTATTGTCTGCACAAACCTAGTGTGGTCCATGGCATACGCGCACGCGCGCACTCTCTCTCTCTCTCTCTCTCTCACACACACACACACACACACACACACACACACACGTGACCTGTCATGACTGGAGAGATGGGGAGAGCAGAACTGGAGAGGTAGGGAAGGACACTCACAAATACTGGAGGAACAGAGAAAAGGACAAAGGAAAGGGAGGGGACTAACTCAGACACCATCCTGGATTCAGGATGTTTAGACAGCAAGTCAGCTCAAGTTTCCCTGGAAATAGGCTTGAAAAGAATCAAGCCCGATGATAAATTTGATGTTTCCCTCTGCTGATACATAGGTCTCTGATTCAGTTGTTTTTCTTGAGTATTCTAGAACACTCTGCCCTTTTCATCTGTCCTCCCAAAGGCTGACATTTTATTCATACCACTTGAGAAGACTTCTATCGTATAGATGAAGTTTTAGTTTCTCAGTTAGATAAAGAAACAGAGAAATCCTTTTTCTCCCTACTCACTGATTCCGCCAAACCTCCAACCTTGCCCTTTGGTTTAAGAGCAAGCGGAATTCTGGGAGTGGGTGGAGAACACAGGGGTGGGCAGCAGGCAGGTGCCTGGCACCAGCTCTGCCATCATCCAAAGCCCCGGCGCAGAGATACTTCAAGGAAAACAGTTTCTCTTCCAAGGCAGAACTACTTTGAATGGGTTCCCTGTGCCTTTCATGGCAGGACAAAGAGGCAACGCTGTCCTGTCCCCACACCGGGAGGGCAGCAACTGAAAGATGATCCCCTGGAAGCCAGCCTGTATGTTGGGGAACGAAGTGCCAAGAACATAAAAGAATAAATATTCTAGAGATAATTCCTGACCGTCTTTGGAATGCACTCCTCCTCCCCTGGTAGATTTGTTTCTTAGAGATTGTTTGCTTTGGCTACACAAATTGGTCCGCATTCTGCAAGCACCCACCTGCTTTGGAAGAGTTACTGCCACCCCTCTGGCAGCTGTGAGGAGGCTGCAGAGAGGCTGGACTGGCTTCCTCAGGCAGCCCAGTGCAGGGTTAACCCGTCAGTCCAGGACACGTGGGCTGGGGTCTAGGTCTTGATAGGACACCAAAAACAAAAAAAACAAAAAAAAAAAACAGTAATCACAGTAAGTGATGAAATGCTTTAAGGAAAAAAAAAGTACTGCAAAAATCCACAATATTGTGGAATGCATATTCTATGAAATATGAATTTTAAAATAAGACAAAATCTATTCAGAAAATTCATTCAGTGCAGCTGGAAAGTGCTACAATCAGGGTCCTTTGTTTTGTTTTGTTTCAAAGCTTTTTAATATTTATTTGTCATGAATATGCATATAAATACACACACACACACACACACA